TTGTTTTCAGAAATACTAAATATTGTTTATTTACTCTTTTTTTTAAGTGGTCACTTTTTTTTGATCAATACTGTATCTGTATTTTTTCAACGTAATCTAGATGTTTTGAGCATGAACATTAGTACTATGGTTCATAAAGATTTTTCTGTGATTGACAGTAAAATTCTAAAATTGTAAATTATTAATGTAAATATATATAAGCACGTCATTAATCAAAAAATATTATATTCCCGGGTAAACAAACTCTTTCAGTTATCGATAAAAACGTTAAAATATTTTTATTAGATACAACATACAACAAGGTTTTATTTAAGATGAATTACACATCTGCCAAACTGAGTGCTTGTAACTTTCTTTCTGGCTGTCTGCTGGTATAGTATTTTTGTTTTTGTCAAAACAGATTATTATCTATTTAAACAAACATACCATCACCCGTGTTACCTAAAGGAATACTCCGGTTTAAAATGAACAATGGTAAAACTTTTAATTAAAGTTTTACCCATCAAAATCAATAAAATGATTAATAATAAGAAAGATTTTTAAGCTGAAAATATTAAAGATTTAAAAGCTCAGGAGATGGGTATTGATGTTTCAACAGAAATCACAGACGATCTTAAAGGTAATATCCCAAAACCAAATTAATTTTTTGTAGCTTGTTTTAAATGTACTTTTGAAGGAGATTAATTATTTTTATTATTGTCTTTTTCAGGTGTTTATCTTTAACCTACCTGTATTTGAGTTTGATTATTAGGCCATTTATAACATGTTTGTAGTATACTACTCAGAGATGTATTGAAACTTGATAATAATGATTTTTGTGAATAGAAATGTATTTAAAATAGTTAATACTCTTATTGGTAAAGCAGTTTAATCCCATCCTGCCTCGACTTATAGATTATGGTCATGTTTCTATATCTTGTTGACAAGATATATATTTCACGTATTTTATCAAGACGTTATTGTTGCGAAGAAACTTATTAAAGTTATCAATTGATCAGCGTAACAGTGGTTCTAATACTCTGTTATACAAACAATTCATAAGTTTAAATTTTTATTTTTTTGTTTTTTAAGTTCATTTTCTCAATCTGGGAAAAAAGAATTTGGTCAAATTTTTTTCCAATTTAGTTACATTGAAAATAAAAAAAAATGTTCAATTAATTAATTAATTGTTCTAACTCGTCATTAAATGCTTCTCTTAAACATTCAATAATTTCTTTTATCACGGGTATATAAACTCTTAATTTTGGATCTTCTAAGTATTTACCAGAACCATCAATAAGAACTTCTCCTATAAAAAATATAAAATTATCATCTATAAATTTGATTTTATATTTTTTTTCTTTTAAAAAATTTTCTATAAAAAGATTTTTTATAGAAAATACTTCAAAAAACATTGATTCTATAGGAAAAATTCTTTGAATTTCTTCCTCTTTTATTTTAGTTGAATATAAATTTTCAAATTTTTTTAAAATATTATCATTAGCTTCTTTTCCTTTGTCTTTAAAAAGAAGTAAAGGTGATGTTAACTTACAATCTTTATTAGCTTTATTTTTTAAATATTCTTTAAAGTTTTTAGAAAATTCTTTAAAAGTAACAGGTACATCTTTATAATTTTTCTTATAAAAGTCATAAAACGCATAACTTGTTATTAAAATCATAATAAAACCAATTAAAAACAACCAAAATTTCATTTGTTTTGAAGTTGTTTTTTTTGAATCATTAACAGTTATACTGTTATCATTTGGTTTATCAAAATAAACATTTTCTGTTGTAGATGAATTACTTAAATGTCTATTATTGTTGCTAAAATAACTTTTTCCTATAAAATCTTTGTCTGTATTTTTCATGTCTGTTTTTAGGGGTAAAAATTTTTAAAAAAATTTTCATCAAAAATAAACTATTTATTTTTATAAGAGAATTTTAATGTTAAGAATGAAAACAAAAATCACAAAGTATATAAAATAAGAATTGTTAGGTATCATAAATGTATTTTTCAACTTGTATTGCTGTTTATTATTATCGAATGTTTTTTGTTTGATAATGACTCTTCTCCCAATGTCTGTGTTTCTTTTTTGTTTAATACTTGTTTTTTATTATTTCATTTAGTGTTATGCACGCAATTTTTTGTGAAAACTTTTATAAGTTTCACTTTAGATCTAAGTGTACCAACAGGTAACACCGTGTTGATAAACAAATTCATTTAATTTATTAGTTAATACCAAAACCAAAAGAAGATGCAATAAGCAAGTTATTTATGATGTTTCCATCTTCTAGTTGTAAATTTTCTTCTGTTAAAAAGGCTTTACTTTTGGTGTTTTTGTGGTATTTTTGATCATATTGTTTGTCTAATTGTGACATCTTACGTCACTACAGATTGGTTTATTAATCAATCATTTAATGATTGATCAATTCCCCTTTTATAAATATTTAAAGAAAATCCTTTTTAAATAAAATGATGATTTCAACAAACAAATCTTTTAAACATTTAACACGTGAACAGTCCTTGAACCGTGCAAGAAATACTACAACTCTTACCTTCTGCTGCACAGGGTATGACACTAATTTTCAAATTTCATGTGTAAATTTTTTTAATTAAACTGATTTTATAATCTGAACATCGTCTCAAAAAGAAAAATTAATGTATATCAACGCACCTCTTACTATCGTTTTAACCTTTAAGTTTATATTATAAAGTATAAACGTATTTAAAAAATCATACTGTTTTCTTATAAAAATAAAATACAACCTTTTATAGTTCCGTTTATTGATATATAAATTATTAATGGTCACAAAAAGATTAGGTAAAAAACCATTTTACTCAATTTTTTTCCTTAATTTTTTTTAAATTTTTATTTAAATAGAATAACGAATCTATTCATAAAAAAATATTTAGAAACTTTTATATAAAAAACATTTTAGTTTATTCTTTATAAAAATTAATATTGTTTAAATTACAATAACATGCATATACAATTGTTTTTCTTCATTTCTTTAAAAGTTAATTTTGACTAACGTTTTAAATCTCAGATATTACAATATTTTTTCTAAGATTTAGTCAAAACGGTTTTTTAAAATAAAATTAGTTGATTATTCTGTTTAAGTTTGAAACTAAAGATATAAAAATTCACACCTACATTTTTTGATAAATTAAAACAATTATTCTTACAACATTTATTCTATAACACTCTTTTATCAGTATATTTAAAGATGTGTTTATTATAATATGATAATTTTTTTATATTCACTTAAATGATTTTTAAAATTTTATAGTCAAATTCTATAAAAACAAAATAACATAGTTTTATAATATTTTGATAGAATAAGTTGACGTGAGTGAACTATCTATATTAAAACTTCGGTGTTCCATCGTAGTTCTTAAGTAAAGGTAATGTTCATTTTTACTGTATGCTCACTCATCCATTTATTTCTTATGTTCTTTGTATTTTTCAAAATATAGTAATTTTGCATGGGTAAAAATTTAATTAAAAATTCAAACATAAAATTGTTCTATTTAGAACAATTTATTTTCTTTGAAATTTGATTCCTTATCAGAAAATACGTCAACAATAATTTAATTTATTAATTTTAATTCGATTTAGTAAAAATTAAATGTTGTTTGTGGTAATATAAATCAGTAATATCTTTTATTATTGATTATATCTTTTATAAATTAACAAAAATTATTATTTTTAATAAAACATTTTATTATTTGAAAATACAAATCATCGTTACTCTTTATTTATTTTGATTTGTTGATTTAAAAGTTTTTTAATTTTTATTAAAAAAATGTTATAATAGTAATTGTACCTCGGAAATAAAAATTCGAAGTAACTTTTATTAATGTTCATTTTTAAAGTTTAATCAACTTAAATTATTTTAAACAATTCAAATTTTTGGTATAAAAAAAATTTAAGTATTGTTAGTGTGTTATAAAATAAAAATCAATCCCATCTTTTATTTCAGATCGATTCCTTTTTATAAATAAAAAATTTAATTTTAAAATTTAATTTATAAATATTCAAAGATGTGTTAAAAAACATTGAATACACTTTATCTTTTGTTCAATTATTTATATGATTATTTACACTTTATTCTGTAAAAAAAATTATAATTTAATAAAATAAAATTTAATTCATAATAGTGTGTTTAGTCTTGATAGAATAAAGTCTTTTACTTTTCAAATCTTTTAAATTTAATATAAAAGACTTTATTCTATTAAGATTAAAATTATATAAATAATAAAATCGTTTTCAAAAAATTGTTCTACAACTAATGTTTTGATTTAATTTTGTAAGAAACTTTTCGTAAATGATTTAAGTTGCTTTCAAAAGGTTTAAAAAAACAGATGTTTCATATGATTATCTTAAAAATATAATTTTTGATAAAGATATTAGAAAATTTATAATGATTTTAATAGTATCTTCTTAATTTTTAATAATAAAAAGCTAAAAGCTAATTAAAAAATATTATAAAAGCATCTAACAATAATTTATTAATAAATATTTTTACGCTTATAATTACCGTAACTACTGTTACTGTTATGAGGAATAGGCATATAAAATTTCGGGGTAAAGAATTTATTATTTCTATTTATAGCTTATTTGTTTACAAACAAATAATTAATATTAATATTTCAATATTTAAGATAATTATCAATAAATAAATTCTTTTAAACATATATTTCTTTTACATTTTAGTATTGTCACAATGTGATGTGACAATAATTTATATAAAATTACCCAATAATAATCATTTTCGTTAAACTACAAAATGTTTTTAATTACAATTTTACACTTTAAATAATATCTATTTTTATAATAGCAGAGTTTTTTAACTAATTAATTATTAAAAATAAGAAAATATTGTTAAATAATTAATTAGTTGAAATGATTACATTTAAATTAATCTTTTGTTTGAAATATTTTTATTATTGTTGTTTTTTCATCTATATTGTAAAATAATCTAGAAAGAGTTAAATAGAACCCTTTATTGGTTTTATTTTAGTATAATTTTCTACAACAAAAAATTTTATATTATTATTTGTGTTTTTAAAATTAAATTTTAAAATAAGATCAATCATTTTTTGATTGCTTTAAAAGTTTAATTTTTTATATTAAAATTATACTTTTTATAAAATAAAATTTAATTTAATGTTCTGAAAATAAAAATTGAAACAAATCTTATTATTTATCACAGGCATACATTGTTTCAAAATACATTTTTTTAAATAAATTATTATTAATCATTCTATTAAATTAGATGTGTTGAAATATTAAAAACATTTTTAATAATTTAATAGTTCATTATTGTTAACACAATTACATTCATATGTAGTTTAAAATATATCTCAAAAATTATTTTACAAACTTTAATTATAAATAAATTAATGAATAAATCATTGGAAAATGATAATACAACAAAGGAATAACAATAAAATAACACTTAACATGGTTTATATTTTGTAAATAAGAAATTATAATAAAATTATTTCATAATCATATTATTAATTTGATTTCCAAGAAAGATTTAATTTTTGTATGGTTAAATTTTAATATAAAAAATTATAGTTTTCAGATACCATTAGTGCCTTTGAAATAAGAAGCGAAGCTACTTTTTACATAAGTTCGATTCTTAATGAGTTAATTTTTATTAAATCAAAAATAAGGGATTGCAAATTGTGATATTGAAAAAAACATTAATTTTAAATTCAATTGTCAAAATTCTTAATAAATATTAAACATACTTATCATTAAAAAAATTATTTTATTTAATAAAAAACATTATTAATAACTATAAAATATTTTTTAGATCTTTAAACATATTTAAATAATATTTAATAATTTTAAATTTTACCATAATAATAAATATTTTTTCATATTTAAATCTAATATAAAAACACTTTAAATGTTTATTTATATTATCAGAAACCAAAAAAGTTAAAATTTTTTAATTAAAAAAATTTTCATAAATTAATCTGTTTATATAATTGATTTATTTCTACTTCATTAGTAAGATTATAAAATAATTTTTTAATCTAATTTTTAATAAATATTTACTAAAACTAATATTTTTAAGTTTTAATTAATAATCACTATTTTTTAAATAAAATACAGTATAAGTATATTTTATTAAAAAGTATAAATTTATTTATTTTTAAAATATAAAGTGCCAAAATCTGTTCTTGATAAAATAATTAAGAATGTTTTTACTAAGTTTCGAATTCTTTTACTAAATTCTTTTAAAGTTTTAATGAAATTACCACAACAAATAAGAATAAAATTTATTCAATTCAACACTATGATTAGATAATAACCATTTACTAGATTACATTACAAATATATTTGTAAAGGTATTATATTAATAATTTAAAAATAGTTTATATAATCATTATTATCAGTTTAATTATATATTATTAAAAAATGATTTATTTGTTAAGTATAAATTATTTTCAAACATTTTACAATAAAATAATGATTAGAAAATATGTAAACTGTTTTATTTTTATAAAAACAATAAAATTTTTAATAAATTTTATACTTTATTAATCAAAAATTTTAATTATTTTAAAGTGATTTTATTCGATCATTTATTAGGGAACCAAAAAAAGTTATAAAAATATTCTTTACTGGAATCAATAAGGAATTATTTTCAAATTCTTTAATTTTATCAGAATAAAACTCCATCTCTATAATCAGTGCAAGTAATTTATACATTCCTTTTATTTCATTAATTAAACACATCTGTTTACTATTAACAAATGTTTCTATTTTAAATTCTAGCATTTCATGGAATATCAAAATAGTTTTATCATAATAATCTATAAATTCATGACTAGAAATAAGATGCGTGGGTTTAATTTTACATATCAACACTTCCAACATATCTCTCTCTAAATTTAAACAATACTCATTTGGAAGGAATTTACAAAAACAAACGAATATTCTAAAAATATCAACGTTTAACTTTTTAAGGAAACTAATTTTTGACTCATTGCTCATATTCCAAGACAAAGAATTGTTTAATATAAATAACATCCTCTTAACTTCATTTAAAAAGTCGTTTAAATAATTATAACAATTAAATATATGTATACATTCATTTATAAACACTACTAATTTTGAACTTTCAAAAATAGGAAAAGGTGGATAATGTGGTAACTCCAACTTAACTATAATATGTAATATCTCAATTAAATAAAGATCAGAGAAATTTAATTGTTCTTTATATATTTTACTGAAATCAGTATTAATTTTTAAAAATATACTTTTTTTGTCATTTCCTATTAAATAATTTTTTATATCTTGAAATATCAAAAGGTTATTTTTTGATTTGTCTAATTTTAATAATCTTTCCCACCTATAATTATCGAGTATTAAACGTGTCAGATCTTGAAAATATTCAGGTGTAATTAAAGAAGGGTTGTGGTTGTTTCTTAATTCAATAAATTGGTTATTTGTTATTTTTGAATAATAAACATGTCTTTTTTGTAATTTAACCATCATTCTATCATAACTGTAAAATGGTTTTTTAATTATTTTTCTTTTTTTAAAAGGTATTTCATTATTATCATAATAATAATAAGCTTGATTTAATTTTCTTTTCTTAAATGGTTTATTTAAATGATTATCAACTGCTCTTATATATTTATTTATGGGAATTAAAATCATTAACAATAAAATTTTTATTAAATTTATTTTCATTTGAGGGTTTTAATTTAATACAATAATTTTTATTAAAAACTTTTTATTATTTAAGTAGTTGTTTTATATTTTGTATCATCAACGTTATAAATTTGACATTCTAATTGTAAATTATTTATAACATCTCTAATTTCAGTTTCTCTATAATTCCCACTTAACATACCAACAACTGTATCAATTTCTAATCCTTCATCTCCTTGATTATTTCTAAATACTGAAAGTACATCACTTTCAATATTTGTATTAGTTTTCTTTTTAGGTGGAGTTATTACATTCGTATTAAATAAATATTCATAAAATGCTTCTGTTAAGTGATAAATAAAATCATTGCCTTCACATTCTAATACATGTGTTACTGTTACACTTTTCTTTTCATTGAATGTTCTTAACTTTCCAACAACTTTAATTAAACCACCCTCTACAACTAGTGGTATTTGTATTTCCTCATAACTATTATTAGTAAAGAATGCACAACTGATATTATCAGTAGTGTCGGTTAGTGTAAAAATAACTCCTGCGTTTGTCTTATTAACAGACTTTACAAATCCTATTAAAACAACTGTATTGATACTGGTTGTATCAACTAGAAAGATGTTTGGATTACTTTCATCTGTAACCGCATTGTTTAATTGTTTACATGTAAGTCTTCTTAATGATCTAGCAATCATTATTCCCTGTTGGTTATTACTTGATAAAAATCCTCCTCCTTCTATTTCCATAGGGTTATAAAATTTTAAATTAAAAAACCTTTTCAAATTTAATTTGTTGGTTTATTTTTTATAAAAACACTATCAGAAATTTGAGGATGACTGTTTCAAAGCAAACATTTAAAATAAAGCTACCGTTTACTATGTATGAATTTAGACGTGGACAAATTTATACTCTATGTAGAATGATGAGAGAAGATGTATCTATTATAAAACACAGCAGATCTAAAGATGGTAATTTAGTAAGAACTGAGAGTATTAAAGAATTAAACCTTTCTCCTTTCATCCCTTCAGCAGTCAAAAGTGTAATTCCAACAAAAGCATGTATAGTTGAAGAATTCTCTACCAGTATAGAAGCAATTTTAGAAGAAGATGCTATTGCATTACATAAATTCACAGAGTTTGTTCAAAATGATGAACATCTTGTAGATGAACACTTTAAAAGAATTTATAAAAAAAATTCTCATGACTGTTTAACAGTCTATAAGAATAAATATTATAGTGAAAAGTCATTTAGAATAACTATAACTACCAAAGTGAATACAGATCCAAACTATAAGGTGGAAGATTCTCATGTTAAAGAAATAGATTTTAGAACATTAAAATCTGATATTAGTCTTTTAAATGTTGGATCAAGGGATTACACAGGTGATTGGCATGGAAAGTTTCCTGTTATATATGTTTATAAAACAGTTGAAATTGAAGTGAACGTTTTTGGATTAGGATGGGTGAGTAGCAAAATAAATAAGGGACTTAGTGAACAGCTTTTGGAATTTCAGACTAATTTAATAAAATGGTATGATGAGTGGAAGAATCTGAGTGATGATGAATTGGAGGAGTTAGAAAATGACATGATAAAAAAATTTTATAAGAAGATCAATTAAAGTTTTAAATAAATTTTTTATAACCCTTGTCTGTCAAAGAGAAGTAAAAGCCTTTGCAAGGAGATAATTAAAGATATCTCTTAGGAAGGTCTGAGACGAAGACTCCAATTTTAGGATTGGAAGTAACGAAATGTTATGGTTTAGAGACCACTATTCACTTTAATAGAAATGTAGCATTTACTTTCAGAATAACTTGATAATTTAATTATCAAAGAATATTTAAGTAAGTGCATGGAAATGGGTGAATGTCTTCATAAATAATAGTGGAATGCAAAGGGATGTTGTTTTAACATTAACTCAATTCAGACTACTCTTTACATCTCTTTGATAGACTTTTTAATAAACTTTTTCCTATAATAGTTGAACTTTTTATATTTGATGTTGAATTAATGCTAATTTTTATTTATATAAAATATTAATTTTGTTTCTTTTAACAAACAAATTTAATATTTTATAGTTAAATTAAATAAAAACAAATTTATTCTTCTTTATTTCCATGTTTCTTAGCATAACGACCTTTCTTAGCCTTATGAGTAGCAGAATTAGGATTAATTTCAATGTAACCTTCATTTTCACTTCTAATCATCATACCAGGTTTATTAATAACACGCCCTTTAATAGTTATCTGATTCTGAGTAATAAGACATCTTGCTTTATGAATGGTTTGAGCCAATCCCATCTTATGAACTAAAGTTTGAGCACGTCTCTCAAGGTAATTAGCCAATTCAAAATTAAGTACTTCTTTTAATAATTCTCTAATCTTATCTTCATCGTTAAAGTCAACTCCGGTTATCATACCATTCTTACTGAGTCTATCAAGTAAAGCTCTACCTTCAGTCATAAACTGTTCTTTATTGGTGGTAATCAATAAGTTTTTTGCTTGATTCTTATCCTGCTTGGCATAAGTAGCTATAGTCCATAACTCTTTCTTATTTCTCAACCCATAATCTCCTACTAGCTTGAGTTCAGATACCAATCTTTCTCTCTCAAATGGTTTTCTTGGTTTTATAGCAATTCTCTTTTTACGAATAACTCCTCCCATGTGGGTTAAAAAATTTTTAAAAAAATTTATAAAGAATTTTATTTTAATTCTTTGCCATTGCTTTTAGTAAAAACAACGGATATTCTTCTATCTCACTGGTTAATAAAAACTTACTTAACAAGTCATTTGCCCTCTTTTTATACTTTTCTAGTTTATTTTCAATACGACCTTTTAAAAGTCCCATATTGATTGATTTTGTTAGAAAAGACTTTTTAATTCTCTCATTTTCTATTCTTAACATTTCTTTATCTCTTTCAGTGTAAATTTCCTCTAAATTAGCTATTTCCATATCAAATTGAGAAATACTTTTATAAATATCATTCCATTTGTTTATTTCATTTTCTACTTCGATGATTCTCTTATTTGTTTGTTCAATTTCCTTGTTATAATCAATGTCTTTAAAGTAATTAGCTGAACAAGCCTTATAAATATCAATTGCAGTTTGACCAGTTACTTTTAAAAACTTTAAAGACTCTAAAATCAATTCGTTTATATTTTGTTTTTTAATCACTTTGTATATTTCATCTGATTTAATAGACTCTTTTTGTTCTGGTATAAATAATGTTTGTGTGTCTTCATATTGACTAATAGAATCTAATTGTCTTATTTCTTCCTTCTTGGTTTTTTTATTCTTTTTATTCTTTTTATTTAAGTTAGCCTTCTTAGCTTTTTTATTTGCTTTAATTTCTTCTGAATCAATTGAATTTAACTTAATTTCTTCTACTACTTTATTCTCATTTAATATTTTAAATGATAATTCTTCATTTAAATCAATTTCTATTGGTAATCTATTTCTTTTGGTTCCTTTAGTTCCAATAACTGTAAATTCAAAGTGATCTTGATTTTTTCCCATGAAATTAAGGATTGAGAAAAATAAATAAACAAAAAATTTAATAAAAGTTTTTAAAAACATAACAATCATTGTTTATTAAAATTATTTTTTTAACTAGGAATTTTAAACAAAGAAAGAGTATTTGTAAAAAAAGATTATTGAAAATTATATTTAAAAACTTAAGTGAATAAAAAGGTTATTTTACTTTTAATAACAAAAATGATCCATTACTTTAAGACTGATTGTTTAAGAACATCTTTAAATTAAGTAGTTTGATTGAATCTTTAAATTTTATTATTAAATTGATTATTATAAAAGAAATCATTTAATTGAATAAAAACTATAGTTTTATAATTTATAATGTTGATTGATAAATCAGTAAAAATATAAACAACTTTATTTAGTCTACCATGACTACTCATATCTTTATCAATATAATTATCATCTTGTTTTTCAATTCATCTTAAAAAAACATTTTTCAGTATAAATAGTTTACTTATTCGTTTGTAAGTAACTTTAATATGTTACAACAGTTGATTTATATTTTTAAATATAAAAATTATAAACTGTCAAAACTATCAAATGTATTTTTTTATAAAAAAATTTTTTAAGTTAAGATAAATAAATCAAAATCATTTTTATTTTATGATTCTAAATCATTTTTATTTTATGATTTAAATCAAAACGTTATCTAGAAATAAAAAATGATAAATTTTTTAAATAATTTTTTGTTATTTTTTACCCCTAATTTAGATGAGTAAATATCAAAATTATAAAAGTGGTTCAAGTAGTTCAAATGATACTTTTGTAACAGCAGAAGAAGGTATTTATGAAACAGTAGAACAAGATACTTTTGTAACAGCAGAAGAAGGTATTTATGAAACAGCAAGAGAATATCCTGATAATAATCAAACTAGTTTTGGTACTGCTAAAACTGGATATGGTAATAAGTTATATCCAAACTTACAATCATCAGAATATAAAGATTTACATGATGGTAATTTGAATACATCCAATCAAATAAATAAGTCATCATATTATGAAAAGCCTAAGATTGAACAAAACTTATTATATCCAAATGTACCCAAAGAAAAACCAGTAGAGATTGGTTTTGAACCATTTCAAAACTATAAAGAGTATAACATTTCACCTAATTCACCAGTTAATGAAAGAGATCCTAATTATCGTCCTCCAAGTTATAATCCTGCATTTGTAAGTCCAGTGTCACCTTCAACTTCTAATAGACCTTCTGAAAGAATCGAACCATCTGCTCCACCTATAGAAGATTTGTATGGGTTTTCAAATCATCAAGAAGTGAATTCAAATCCTAATAAGCCTTCTGAAAGAATCGAACCATCTGATCCATTTATAAAAGATGTTTTTAAATCATTTGATAATATGTTTTCTGATTTAACTACATCAAATAATACACCTAAACCAATTACAAAACCCTTTTCACCTACCACTAGTAATTTTTCTAAAAGAAATGATCCTTTAAAAAAATATAATACTAATTTTACTAAAACAACTTTTACTAAAGATTCTCATAATAAAAGTACAAATAAGAATAAGAATGCTAAATTTGATGTAACTGCTTCAATTAAACCTTTAAATACTAACACTAACAATTATTCAAATAACGATGAGTTGTTTAGAGATGGAATTTTTGATAGGTTAGAGAGAAAAGGTTTTAAAATGACGAATTATTATCAAGATAGGTTTTTTTTATTTGAAAGAGTTGAAGAATACAAGTTTTTATGTGTGGGATTCTTTCATGGGTTTTTAGATTTTAGAAATGAAAATATTACCTTTCAAATCATTATTGATAGAAAACCTCAAAATTTATCATTTAATGTTAGGGATTGTTTTGAAAGAGCTGATAATTCTTATAATGTTATGAACTTTAAAATTCAAACTATTTATGGTGAAAAGGTAGTTGAAGTTAGATTTATTACTCATTTGTATCCTGTTCCTATTCATGAGACTATTGATTATAATTGTCATGGATGTTTTTCTTAATTATTAATAAAATTAACAAATGAAAATTTTTTATTTAAAAAAAGTGATGAGATTATTAAAAAAACAATCAACTTTATTATTCTTATAATATAAAACAATTTTCTATTAATATTCAAATTAAAATACGTCTATAGAAAAGTTATAAATTAAAACATTTTTATAATTAATCAAATAATTTAAAATTCATAATTGGAAATAAATTAAGTTTTTCAAAACAAACATCAATTTTAATGTTATCATTATCAATAACTCAATTAGGTAATTATTTCTAATAATTGTTTTTAAAAAAATAAAAACCCATGAAATTCAACTTATTTTTAGAAATTAAATATATTAATGCATCAATTGATTATCAATTAAATAATGAAGAAGGATTTGAAATGGAAAACATATTTTGCTCAGAATCAAATTGTACTAGTAAATCTAATTTATTTGATTCTTTAATTAAGTATAAAAGATTAATTTACTCAAAAGAAAATACCTGTAAATGTGAATCAAGTTTAATAGGATTAGATGAAGAAAGTAAAGAATGTTATAATATTGTATTTAAAGATGAAAGTACTGTTAATACACAAAAGAAAAATAATGTTAATACACAAAAGAAAGATAATGTTAAATTACAAAAGAAAGAAAAACTACCATCATTTATAGATACTTTTTATTTAAAAAAGACTAATTTTAATCAAACAAATGTTAATAACAGAAATGAAGATAAAAAACCTTTAATTCAAGAAAGTGATAAAAATTTTAAATTTAAAAAATTAACGTTAAATGATTATAAAAGTTTAGTGCCACTAAATTTTGAAAAAAAGAAAATATCAAGTTTAAAAAAAGTTATTGAGAAACTTTTATTAAGAACGATAGAAGCAAAACCATCTGTTAAATTTTATGATAAATTATATGTAAATATTAACAGGGAAAATTCAAATCTAATGATATTAAATAAAGATTACATGTCAATTAAAAAAGATAAAGATAAGTTATCAATTTATGAACATACTTTAGTAAAGTTTGTTGTTAAATTAATTAAAATTCACAATAAAAAAGACATAATAAGAGAACTTGATCTTGTTAATCTGATTATTAGAATTTTGAATGACTCAATGAAATTCACTAAATTTTATTTTAAATTAAAAGAATTAAAAAAATTGAAAAAAGACAATGAAGACAGAATTAAAAAATTAACAAGTGATTTAATTTCAATCCTCAAAAATATTTGTGAACCAGAAATAACTTTTGATGAAAACAAAGATGTTAAAACACTATTTAAAATACCAAAAAAATCTTTAAAAGGACAAGGTGATTTACACAATTGGGCAACAAAAATTAGAAGTGGTTTAAAAAAATTATTTTTAAGTAATTTGGATGATGTTAACAACTATGTAAATGATAAAACAATAGAAATAATGATAAAAAACAAATTAAATTCACTAGGTGTACTTCTTGTGGATCATATTTTTAGATCAAATACAAAAATTGAAGATATAAGAAAACATAACATTTATTATTATTTGATGAGCATAAAAAGAGAAATTAAAGATTATTTTTTTAAAAAATTAAGAAAGAATCAAAATTCTAAATAAATTTTTAATAAAAAATGTTTAACACTAAAGAAATCTTAGATTTTTATAAAGAAAAACAGAAAGATAACAGTTACTTAAAAAGTAAGTTAAATTTAAATAAAGATATTAAAATTACCACTATAAAATGTCCTGCATCATTTAAGAATGATAAAGTTGTTTATATAAATAAATAAATAAAATACCCCAATAATGTCTTCAAATTTGAATTCACACTTAAAAACGATAAAATCAAAGGAATCAAATCCCGATCTATTAAAGTTGATACAAGAAAGACAGAAAAAGCAAAATAAGAGTAAAAAACCATTTAAACTATTAGCAGCACTACTTCTTTATCCAATGCTAGCAAAAACATTCCTACAAAATCTTAAGAAACCAAAGATAGGAGAGTCTCTTCAAGTGTTAAGACTCTTTTCAATAGTAGCAATTTTACTTGGATTACTCTGTTATGTAATTAAAGTATTTTACATTCCAATTAATAATATTTTAATAAAATAACTAATGAAATTTATTTTTTATATTTAATAACTAATAAGCTAATGATAATACAAACAAATAAACCATAATAACTGATCTTATTAATAAAACCATTAAAACATTCTCCAAACAACTCTAAAACCATAACAGTGTAATTCATAACATTAAGTTGTGCTTTAATAGTTCTATCCCATTCATTACATAAATCGTTTATAGCAGGGACTCTTGTTAATGGATCACATCTATTAATTTCATAGTTGTGTTTAGCTGATGATATTTTATCTTCTAATTCACTTCTTCTTATCAATATTTTACCGAGTATATCTTTTCTAAAAAAGATTAATAAATGTAAAATTAAGTAAAGTAAAACTGATATTATGATAGTATGAAATACAAGATAAATATAAGGTATAATTATTAATGGATCAAAGTATATTTTTTTAATTATTCTTAAATTATTATTTTTATATAAAACTAAGTCTTTACTTTCTTCTTTGATTTCTTTAATTTCTTTGATTTCTTCAATAACTTTAATTTCTTTATTTTCTTTAATATTTTTATTAAATTTATCTAATAATGTATTTTGTTTACATTTTACTTTCTTATTTAAATCATTCCACTTAAAATTTGGTACTTCTTCTATCAACCCTTTAAAATCACTTTTCATAAAAATAAATAAAAATTTTATTCAAATTTTACAACTTTTTGTACTTTCAATTCAATCATTGGTTTCTCAGTTGTTGATAACAAATATTGACATCTTGGTCCAGTTGGTTGTCTTTTTATTACTTTAATTGGTTCTCCTGTTTTACGTGATTCAATTACCCTCGCATTATGTTCTTGTCTGAGTCTTTTTGTTTCGGAGTTACATTCTGATAAAGTTAAATGTTCTACTCGTGCATTTACTAATCTACGAATTTTCTTTCCTCCTACTTGTCTGAAAAATTCAACACCTACTGCTCTTTTATCTACCTTAAATACTCTACCGGTTTTACCATGGTAGTACTTATGTGGCATTCCTTTAACTACTGATGGATCTACTTTACAATCAACATAATCACCTTTCTTGTATTGCTGTAAGATTTTAGTGGTATTTGGTAATCCTTTCTTACCAAAATCTTTACTAAATAATGTTCTAGTTCTTCTTCTATATCCTTTACTATACATTTTATAAGATTATTGGGGTTAAAATTTTTTATAAAAAATGCCAAGATTAGTTGGACAGTTTGTTAAAAACTGTAAAATTTTTGATAAAAATGAAAACT